TTCCCACCGCCCCTTGCGTTGGGGCGACAATATTTGATTTGCTTGAGATCTTCTCGTTGGGTACAAGAAAATTCAGATTTCAGGTCCCTTCGAAGGGAAGGCTGTCGGAAAAAATCACAGTTTACTGGAACTCTCAATTTCTCTTTATACCGCCTAAGGTCTGTCTTTAATCTTAATTTGTTTTTTGTATAGCTTCTCCCCTGTTCTTGTTGTATCTTAAACAGATTTGTAATAGTTCTCGAGCGCATGGCAATGGATTCTTTCTTGGTTCTATTGCTTCTGTCTCTCTCTCTCTCTCTCTCTCTCTTTCTGGCGCTCTTTGAAAATCGGGTCGCCTACGGCACTGCTTGCTTATTCCACACAGGTGTGTGATTGTGTGTATGCAAGTGTGCACTTGTGTGTGGAAAAAACAGGTATCACACACACACACACACACACACACACACACACACTCACACACATAGACTGCCACGGACACGGTCTCACACAGTCATCGTCGTCATCATCAACAACATCTAAGCCAAGTTGTTGCCTCTTTTCACCTTTCCTTTTGGCCATCAAATTCGGCTCTCTCTTGCTCTCTCTCTCTCTCTCTCTCTCTCCCTATCTGTCTTCGGTTGAGTGTTCCATGATCGCTTGTGGGCAGGCAGGCAGGCAGGGGGTAGAGTGTGTGTTCTCTTGTGCCTTTGTGGCCGCTTCCTAATCCATTAACTGGTCTCTCTCTCTCTTTCTCTTTCTCTGTCTCTCTCTCGCTCTTTTGTCTTGGCCACTTTTGCTCATCTTGTTCTTGCTGCAGCTAGCCATCCCGCTTGCACATGATGACGACGCACTTAAGCCGGTTAAAAAATCGAACATTTTCGACTCAAAAATAAAACAGAATAAGCGTGCTCCAAAGAACAAAATCACATATCCAGAATTTTGATTAAATTTCGATTAATCATAATCCTAAACGAAAGACCGCCCTGGCCTGTTGTCATGATGATGATGATGATAATGGCGGGCGGCCATCGATCAGAGGCCACAGCCGAGCCATATGACTTCTTCTCTCCTCTCCACTCACCACTCACCACTCACCACTCTCTTCTTTCTACCATTTTCTTATACCTTTTGCCACATTTTTGCCTTGGCAGACTTTCATTTTGGCCCCAAAACTTCTATTGGGGTTTCAGGCCCGGTTCTGTTTGATTTTTCTATAAGCATCTACATCGAAATGGGAGAGGACGATATGGCCTTACACATAGGCATACATACATACATACATACATACATACATATGTATGTACAGATATTTGTATATGTATGTACTATACATATAATTTTTCTGCCACGCTCAACGATCAGCGACAACAATTTAGAAAATTAGTTGCACAGTCAACAAAACTTGTTCCATTGGCTTTCTAACCGGCACTGAGGGAAGCACCAGATCCACGGGGCTCTGGGGAGGGGGGCCGGGGGCGGGCTCGAGGAGTGGGCCGACTCCCCTCCCCACCGATGGCATCTGCATATGTATCTGTAATTTGTAACGTAATTCGATCTCCCTGGCATATTCTAGACGGCTGGAGGATCGGGGAAAACTTCGAGAAATGGAACTGGAACTTGTGTGCTCTCAAAGAAATTCTCACTATGTTTTGGAGAACATACATACATTGTACATATGTGCTCTGGAACCACCTAATTGTTTACAGTACACTTTGAAAAGATGCTCGAGGCTGGGCCTGGATGATAGATTGGAGGAAACTAGTTCCCACCACTTGAAACCGGTTCAAATATGGGCTGCCTTTCAAGCTCAAGCTCAAGCTCTAGCTCTAGCTCCAGCTCTAGAGCTAGAGCTAGAAACGAGCTCAGAATTCAGATCAGAACTAGTTCAGAAATGGAGTTTGTTCTTGCCACAAAGAGCAGCAGTTTTGGCTGCGATTCGTGATTGTTTTGCCCTGGACTCTGGACTGGACTGGACTCCTCCCGAGGCGGGAAGTCTATTCAGGGTCTTCATGGCAAATACTCGTGTGTATATAAATTTGTGAAATTGTCAGTGCGCCGCCACAAGCAGAAAATGATTTACCGCCTTGGGGCCACCAGCCGGCGACTCATTTATCAAGCAGCAAAATAAAGAGAGACCGAAAATGAAGAGAATTCTAAGTTTTGAGTGCGGGAAACTTTCACCAGTTCCACCGGATGGTAGAGGGGTCGGGTCGGGTCGGGTCGGGTCACACTCGAGGATGTCTGCCGGAGAGGACTTGCAAATCACTTTTGGTGGGGGCTTTCTGCTGCTTCTGCCGTTTTGTTTACGTTTTTGATGTTTCTCATGGGATCTTGGGACTTGGGACTTGGCCGTGCGACTAGGACTGTGACTGATCGTTTTCGAGACTGGTTTCGCTGCTGGCTGGCTGGCTGGCTGGCTGGCTGGCTGGCTAAAAAAGGAAGTTGCTCGCAAAGTGGCGAAAGCCACGCTGCGCTGCCGCCAACAAACTGTTCGATCGTTCGATGGTTCGCTTTCTTTCTGGCCAAATCGGAGACGGGAGACTTGGCTTCCAAACTTCCTTTTCTGGCCTGCTGCCCCTTTGTGTGGCCTTAATTTGCGGTTTCGGTTTCGGTCTCGGAATTCGGTTTCTTTTGTTTCAATTGCATTTGCATTCGCATTTGTGTGTGTATTTTATTTTATTATTTTTTTTTTTTTTGTCGCATGAACTATTTCTGTGGAATTGGCACAATTTTTTCTTGTTTACATATCTGCAGCACAGCAAAACAAAAACAAAAAGAGGTGACATCAATTTGCGCAAATATTTCCCGCACACTCACTTGAACAACAACAAAAAAAATATATTTATTTAAAGCAAGCCAGAGATTTCTTGGATCTTTACGTTACGCTTAAATTTCGCTTAATTTTCCTCCGCTCAGATTTGCCTTGAATTTAGCAGCAGTTCGTTTCGGCTTTTCGCCACACACGTTGAACGAATCTCTGCGTTTTGGGGGGGGACTACTCTGCCGCGCTGGCTGACGACCGTGTTCACACGACAACGCTCCGGAGCGTCTGGGGCGTTAATGGGGCGGCAAGGCCGTGCACGCTTCGAATGTTGCTGGTGGTCAGTGGCCATGTTGCTTGCACAGATGTTGCCCCAGTCGGCCCCATGTTGCTGGATGGCGCATACTGCGGTGGCCCTGCAAACGAGGTACGGCAAACGACCAGCCATATACAGGCCGTGCAGGCCGCAAGCCTTACCTTTCTTCTTGCATGCTCTGACTGTGACATACATTGAGGCGAGCAACAGGTGAGGTGAGGTTCGTATGGCGTGCCGTTCATGTTGCTGGCCCGTTTTTTCTCGCTGTCCATACCTTTCCATAACCAAGAGGTTCGAGTCGAGCCTAGAGCGGGCTCAGCCGGTGGTTGTGTTTTGTTCGAGCTCTCTCACGACTCAGTTTTGCGTTCAGGTGTGAGTTTTGAGAGAGGGTTAGGGTCGAGCCCCGCTCGAGACGACGCTGCCAGCCGGCTCGCAGCATGTTCGAAGGTTGCGAGCAAGCCGGCTCAAAGAACAGTGGCGTGGTGAGAGAGGCTTTAAAGGCTTGAGAGGGGGATTCGTAACACTGCACTTGAAAACTGGAAAACGAATTATCTTGGAGCCTGCAAGCAACTCAACAATAGGACCATAGATAGAACCTCGGGTTGGTCTAATTTGTTACTCGACTCCTTATGACTGTTTCCTGTTCATTGGATCCCATTTTCCCATTGAAATAAGCGATCTACCCATATATTTTCTTGGCCATCGCAGTACCAAAAATGAGATCAGAAAATTCTTAAGATAAATATACGTATGCGACATATCAGACGAAGCACGTTGCACAGCGCTCGAATTCTCGGCCTTGGCGATTCAGGCCGAGAACATGCTTAACGAATGAAACTATCTTTGGACTGCGTTTTCTTTTCTTTCTCTCTTATTCTTCAAGTTTGCATAGGTCAGGCTTTCTCCAGTGACCTTTGGTCACCGCTAAATACGCGAAAATACATACAATATTGATAAATTAAGTGTACGAAAGCTGTTTCTTCTTTAGAACATTTGAATGGAAATGTGTGTTCGGTTCTGTCAAAGGATAAATCGAAAGACCTGCTTGAAAGCCCCCAAGTTTTGGGCGATAAGAAAACCAAAATGTACTTTCGTGAGCTCTGTTTTTGTTATTGCTAACGGGAATAGTATGTGTGTTTTTCTCGATTTCCGGAGAATCGGTAATCACTGGGGATGTCGCTGAAAGCTGATCGCTTCTGGTCTGGCATTGCGGTTAAGAGATCTGGGCCGCCCGATAGGCGGAACACGGAGCAGTTATGTGGGGACCAGTCCTATTCTACGAACGGACGAAACAGCTGTTCGGTCGGTTATTGATTCTACTAAAGACTAAAATTCAATATTTCAGCTCTATTACATTGAACACAACCACATGCAGATGCATATTTATCTCTCTTTGTACAGTCTTTATCGAAGTATCTATATTTCAGCATATAGTCTATCTATCGGCGTGTATTTGAAGTAATTAATATCTCGGACAATGGCAGTAGTTGACTGTTGATTGCCGTAGGTCATGACATGACTCATGACTCACATCCCCCAGGCCGGGCCCAAAAGTTGCTGAGAAGCAACCTGTTGGAGTTTCCACCATTATACCAGACTCGCTGTCGAGCATGTTGCGAGCGATTGAGATGGCAAGACAATCAACAAGTTGTTCTCGAAAACTCTCAAGAGCCAGAGAGAGCAAGAGAACGAGAGCCAGAGCAACAAGAGTCGAACCACGACTGGCAACACCAGCAACAATTGTCCAAAACAAAAACACAACACGCAACATGCTGCACACGACACGTATTGCCACCCCGGCCAGGGGTGTCAGCCCGAATGGGGCTAGATTTCGAACAGGGGTTAAGGTTGGAAAATTGTCGGCACCAAGTAGGCCAGGATTCGAAAATTACAGATGAAAATTACATTGTCTGAGTTTGAAAACACCCGAAAAATTTGATTAAAATGATTTCTTTTGAGACAAAAGACGGAAAAACCATTCGTGCCGAGCTGGAACTGATGAATCGCTCCAGCGTGATACGCGCGATGTGCAGCGCCTGCCCTGACGATGGCGCGGAGGACGTCGTCATACCGCTGCGCGGCGTACGCAGCGAGGTGCTGTTGAAGATCCTCATATGGGCCCAGTTCCACAAGGACGACGAGGAGCCCGCCTGGGTGACCAAGCCGTATCCCATCTCAGTCCTGGAGATCGAAGTGCGCACCGGCTATTGGGACAAGGAGTTCCTTCGCTGGGACTTGAACCATGTCTGTGAGATGCTGGAGGGCGCCAATTACCTCGAAATCAATTGGCTAATGAAGCTGTGCATTCAGAAGCTATTCTTCAATCGCTCCAGGCTCACAAGCTACCAGTGGAATAAATATTTGAAAAATATAGAGCCGTTTGTCAAGTTCGGGGTGATCATCGGCCCCCCCAAGGACATTCCCCCAAACCGCGACTGGGAGTGGTTCAGCGATCAAAAGATCAACTTTTAAAAATATGTCTTTAGGTAAAGTCAAATGACTGGAAACAAATCAAAGCTCATATAAAATTCCAAACAATTCTCTTTACAGCCCATCACTTCGTGGGGATATCTTCCATGAAGAAAAAAAATGAAATACATACAAATTCGAAGAAGAAATCCAACTGAATCCTGGCCTACTTAGAGCTGATATTTTGTGGTGTTGAAATTTTGTTTGCTCTCGCTTTAAAATGTGATTGTCTATTGACTGTGATAACGCCATGTGTGTGTGTTTTTTTTTCTATTAGAAATGCTCTCTCTCCCTTTGCACTACCCTCGAGAAGAATAACGGCCGTAAACTGCTGACTAATTGCTAGAACAGAGACGGGCTGATGGCTAGATGAAGCAGAGCCTCTGCCAGAGGCACTCGTAAATGCTGTTGCTGCTGTCCATTATTTGTTAACCAAGCCCGCTGAAGTCAGTGTTAACCATGTTAACCCAAAGCTGGGGGGCTGGCTACCTGGGCCATAAAAGTATATAGCACCTTTCTATGGTAGCCTGCAGACAGAATCCTCCTCTAGTTGCCTAAGCCCCCACATGCGCACCTGAACAATACACGTTTGCCCGCAGAAATGTGCTTTATTTTGCCATTAATATTATTATATACATAGGTATGTCCAGGCCTCTCGGCAGTACAAACATAAGCTGGTTGAGGGCCACAATCTCTTCATTCTTGTGCAGATTCGTCTTCTGCTCAAGGTCGTGCCACAAGACCATAATAACCATAATACGTTCAGAGAGCGTTCCCCTCGAGAATTCAAAAGTTGGAAATCTGGAAAATTCGTTGCTCTGCCAATACATTTCGATTCGTCTATGCACTTAGGAATAGGACCCCTTTGTGGTCTTCTCGTGGTGTCGTGGCATTTTCGTTTGTTAATGGAAATCGTCCAATAGGTCCAATTGATCAGTGCTTTAATGGCAAAGTCTGTCAGCCACTCTCGTCCTCGACTGTCGATACGACTATCTCTCCCAGTGGGGACTAGCTCTTAAGGGTGGTTGCTCATGTACTCATAGAGAGCGCATATATACATAAGTATTGATGTATTCTAATCAAAATGGTCATTAGGTGAAAGGAGGATATAACTATAACTAGCGGTGGTGGTACTTCTCTGTCTCTCTATATTTTTCCCATCGATCGCGGTCTGTGTTGGCTGTCTTATAAAAGTACATACATGATCACATGTACATTTTCTAAATAGTTTCGCCAAAAACAAACGTTTATTTCATCTGCTTAAATGTGGATTGGGTAATGACTTGCAAAAGGATCCATAGGAAATACATATGTACGCCGTAGAACAAATCTGATGACTGGAGTTACTGAGGTCTCTGTAGGGTTCTAATGTTTTTGAAGCGATGTATATTCAGGTTACTGGGCACATCTTTCGCATGTTCTCCAAGATCTCTTGCGGTTTTTCGAGCTCCACCAGATATGTGATATCGTTGGCTACGATCCCTCAACCTCCATCTTCTCCGTTGAATAAAACCGTAACATTATACGATTCGGGCTAGAGCATCATCCGAAATCTGAAAGGGATTCAATTAATATTTTGCTAATTTGTATGTGGATTTTAAACAAATGGTTACATCACGTTAAATTATATCCAGGGAACTGCATACTCCTCTATTGTTGTTGGACCCAGTAGAAGGGCATGATATTCCGAGCCGGAGGAGCACTTGTCGGGCTTTTCAGAATGCTGAGGCGGAGGTGGCTCTGGCCGGAAAGAATAGCATTGATGGAATAGCATTTTGCAGACTTCTTGCAGACTAGGGTTCCTAGGACGCCCACCCCCGGCTCACTCGCTTTTCTAAAACTAAAAGCTGCCAAAGCTTTGGCAGCGAGCGAGCAAACCAGCTTTTTGGCTGAAGCTTTTCTGTTCAAACTCTCAAGCTCTCACCCAAGATTGTTACAGTTCGAGCTTTAAATGCTTGAAAGCTTAAATCGTTAAAGGAACACAAGTTAAGGCGAAAAGCTCTATGGTAAGAGCTTAAGAGCTTTGAAGTTTGAAGCTTCCAGTGAATGTTAGACGACTGTTAATTTAAGGAAATCGTTTTCTTTATTTAATTGTGTATGCAGATGATGCCTCAATTGGCGCTCGCTTACGTCTACTATAAGTAATCGTTATAATAAGTAATTTTAATTTCTGTTGTGTATACCGTTCTTCCCCGCTTCCCCGCTTGCTCCTTGCATTCTTCCTCTTCTTCTGTTCTTTAGTCGTAATATTAAGCACAAGATACAAGTAATCTTAAACACAATAGAGATTGAGAGATACACATACAGGTGAATTATTACTAAGACAAAACTGACTCTTATACTCTTTGAAAGAGAAGTTCCTTGAAGAGTGCCAACCAGCAGGAGGTCTGAGGCTTGTTTAATATTTGATACACAACAGAATAATCGTCTAATGGAGTGCAAATGGAGTACAATTGATGTTCTATCCGGTATTCAACTGAATTTTGGCCTTAACCTTAAGCTCAACTGTTTCATAACTAATTCAAGGACTCACACATCCAGTGAGGGGTTCCTCAATATTTTGCTGAACCAAAACCCTTTTTCAAGCACAATGTTTTGCAAGGATAATGTACCGGGAATGTAAATTACTTTGCTGCCATTGTTCTTCACTCCTTTGTCATCCATTGAATGTACACGGATGCGAGGAAGGCTTCTCCTTCTGGCTGGCTGGCACCCCTTCATTTTCCTACTCGTCTTCTATCGGAGAGCTACGCGGATGACTAGGAAGTAGGAGTATTATTTAACTTCTTTTGTTCTTTGCCGAGACAAATTATCATTGGAATTGAATCTTCGATCTATGCATATGTTTATGTACACATATATATTTTTCGGTAGGTAGGTATGTATATATTTTTGTATATTTAAAACTCTTTTAATGTAACTTGTAATTAATTTAAACATTGATTGCTCTTGCGTTGTGACAATAATTTACTATATACTCGTAATCGATTTGTCAATATATCGTATGTATGTAAACGTATAGTTCATTCAATAAATATATATGTATGTATCTGCTACATCATTTGTGTATTTGATTCTTCCTCTGGCCTGCCTCTTCTCGCCCTCTCTCTTTGTCCTCCCGTCTTGATTATCATTGACTACTTTTAATAATAAAAAAATTCTCTAGTATTCCTTCCTTTAATTCCATATATTTAGATATTGTTTCTTCGTCGTCCAGCGACTGAAATGATTTTGGGAATATTTTCCAAGCTTCTTTCAAACTGCCAAACATTTCCCTCAAAACCCAAGATTTTCGTATATTTTCTTTCTTTTTGTTCTTCTTTTTTTTACAGAAGCAAAGTTCATTCTATGTACAGTCTAAAGCTTACAATATAACGATTTGGGGTACATTCTATATACTATTTAAGCAATAACAACATCAAGACTTTTGTAAAATAAAACACCTCGCCTCTGCCTTCGCCTAAGACATGTTGAAGGTTTTGTTTAACCTTTCGCTTAAGGCTAAATTCATTTCTAGGTTTGCATTTCGTTCAGAATTTGTGGGTTTAATAAGTGGTATTTTGGTGGCTATTTTGGATGGTGATTTGGAGGCGGAGGAGGAGTGGAATCGTAGCTCGAACTAAAGACTCGCTGCTTTGCTGGGCCGGGCAGGCAGCGAGTCAAGTTCAAAAATATTTTCCAATTTTCCAGAGTACTCGTTTTTGCGGATAAATATTCTCATCTTAGACTAGGAATTTATCTTTATTAATATATATATATATATTTTTTTTTGTATAGTTTTTGTTTATTTTCTTGTGGCTTTTGTGGCTTTCTAGGTACATGGTACATTTGTCAACTCTCTTGAATTTTGATTGCTCTTGTTGATTGAATCAAACGAAGGTTATTTTTCTTCTTCTTTATTTTCTGGTGGAATAAATTATAAAAGATCAAAAAACACCTGAGGATTTCCACGTTTTTGATTGAATTGATTTGAGTTCAGATCCGTAGATTGTACAATATATAGTCTGTGGGCTTGTCTTAGTATTTTCATATTTTCATATATTCATTTTGGTAATTGGTGGTTTTTGGCGGTTCACAAATCTACACAACATCCAAAAAAAATGAAGAGTAGTTGCTAGATTCTAAGTAAATAAATGTTTGTCCTTCTGGCTTAGGTTTTGTCCACTAAATATTTACTAATTAATCAATTCCTGAATATACAATATATTGATTTAATTTCATTTTATATCATTAGTTATTGGTTATATATATATATATATATATGCATATACTATGCTCGTATATGGATTCATTTCGTAGGCCTATGAATTGCTGAGCGTACCTGTCTGTAAATAGATGAAACAAATATTTGTCAGCAAATGTACATTATAAAATTAAATCATATATGTATGCGGCATGCTGACGAGAAACTTCATTGGAATGCCCAAAAATTTGTTTGTCTAATTGCCTCTCTCTGTGCTGTGCTGGGGGCAATGGGGCCACTGGGGGGGCCCAGACTGTGGCCTATTTATATTGCATTTTGATTTTGATTTGTGATAATCCGTTTCGGATAATGGCCCAAAGGGATGCGTTTCAATTAAAGTCAGTCGAGCGCATTAAACGAGCTTTATTGAGCAGCAAATTGTGATCCAGGGGCCCCAGCCAGTGGCTCTAGCCATTAAAATCACGCTCCAGCTCTGGCATTGCCATTGCCATTGGCACTGGCCTCGGCATTGGCATTGATGCAGCTGTTGCTGTTGCAGCATATTACTCATACGCCACGTGGCGGCAGCTACGAAAAAGGAAGTTTAAAGGAAATGTGGCCAAGTAGTTAAGTTCATGGCGCTGCTCGTCGTCCTTGGCCCCCATTTCGCCACCCAGTCGTGCATGTCCTTGGGACAAGGCTGCATTTCATTATGCACGTGTGTGTGTCTGAGTGGGAGCAGGGACAATGCAGGAAGAAAAGAAAGAACAAATAAAGACTATTGGACAAATATAAAATATAAATAAACCCCACGGCTACTTGCAGACCCTTTGAAAAATGTAACAAAACGGAACAGCTATTAATAGAAGATTGCACATACTTATATATAGATTGAAACAAAGAGAACTCACCTGGATAGCGAATTCACGTCAGTCCATAAATAGCTTTTGCATCGGAAGGTTTTTCAAGTGTTGCGCTTTATTTTCGTTCAAATGGCATGTCTCTTTGCCAGTTGTTAATAGTTTTTGGTTGCTCCTTCTTCATTTCTGGGTGTGGCGGAGAGGAGGATGCTTAGACGTGGCACATTGCACAGGTGTTAACCGAAATTGCTGCCAATCAAAGCGGCTAACGGTGTGGTGCGTTTTTTTCTTTCTTTCATTTTTTCTTGCTCTCTCTCTCTCTCTCTCTGTCTCTGTCTCTGTCTATTACACTCTTTTCGGTTTAACTGCAGTTTTTCCTTTTCGGATTTTTTTTTTTTTTTATTGCTTTTTCCCGATTTTTGCGGTTTTTTCTTGCGGCAGCCGCGAAAAGCAATTTCCCGCAGAAAGAAGCAGACCAAACAGCAACACAGCACAAAGAGGGTGAGTGGGAGGGAGAGGGAGGGAGCGTGAACCGAGAAGGAAAACAAGAAATGTTAATAAAGGTCCAGTTCGAGTAACAGAGTTCCAGAATGTTCATTGTTCATTGTTCATTCGTGTGTGTGTGTGTTCTGTTTGTCCGTGTGTGTGTGTGTGTGTCTGTGTGTCTGTGTGTTTATATTGCTCAGTATCCGACCAGTGACCGACCACCCGACCACCCTACCACTCCATCTACATCTCGCCCTGGTGTCTGCGTCCGTGTCCGTGTCCGTGTCCGCGTCCTCCGTCCGTCCGTTGTCCGCTTATGTCTGCACGGGCACATTGCTGTCCGCCTCCTGGAGCACGGGCGCAGTCCAGACACCGCTGCCGCTGCGCGTCTTCCGCTGCTGCACGATCCCGTCCATTATGTCCAGCTGCAAGTTGTGTACGCTGCCGCGATGATCCGTCAAGGGGGGCCCGGCGATGACGCTTCCCCGGCGACTGCCACTGCGAACGAACAGAATAAAGATCATAAATACATGCTATACTGTGAAAAATACCCTCAATACAGGCTCAATATCACGATTAACTTTTGAAAACGCAAAAATTGGTGCTCCCGTTTTCACAAAACGCAAAATTTTTCCGTTTTCAAAACAACATAACGAATCTTCGTTGCAAAAGGAAAAAAATAGATGACTTATTGAATCTTTAAAATATAATTGACACCATTTTTAGGGCAATTTAGCTTGTGCCTTCTTTATAAATAATTTTTGTTTAGCCCAACCTTAGTTTGGTTCCTAAATAGTGGGTCTAGAATGGCCCGATTCGGTTATCGACACATCATCCCATGTTACACATAACAGAGGATTTTATGCGCTTAACAGCAATAAATTGTGCGCCTAACAGCACTTAATGTAGCACTTGCATGAAGCCATCAACCCAGAAAACCTCAAAAAATCGTTGGAATAGTATTGGACGATCGAAAAAAAGAAATTGCAAGAGATGCCCGATACTGTGGACGTCTCAAATAAATGGATATGCTTACGAGTGTGCATCATAAATATTTAAATAATTTTCTATAAATAAGTTACAAGAATAGCGCCATTTGTCAGACTCAGGCACACGGCAGACGTGAGACCGCTTCAAGGGAGTCTCCGGCGGGGTTCTGACACAAACCTATCGAGTTTGTTGACCAAATGCTATGCCTAGTCTTGAAGAGCTTCCGAATTCTAAAGAACGAATTAATGTCCACGTTTTTCTTTACTTTTTCGGGCATCCCGGGCAGTACAACCCCGATTTCGGAACGAACGCTTGCCACACTCCTTTTAAAATAATCCCACGAAAAAAGGTTCCGGTGGAGTCAATTTTGGAAATCTGGGGCCTCATTGCGGGGGCCAGTCAATGTAGTAGCAGCCGACTTATGTGATTAGTCATGACATGTGTGTTTAATTATAATTCAGTGACATTAAAGCCATGAATCACTTCACAAAGCAACAAATCACCGAAATAATAAATACACCCAGAGAAAAAATCACTTTAACCCCCACTCAGCCCCCAAGATTGGAAGTGTCCCATCACTTGTTTTGGCCCATAAACTCGGTCCTTGATTGATGTTTTTATTTAAAAAACTGCTCCACTTAAATTTCAAAGACAATGCCTTATAAAACTAAATCCTCATTTATGGAAATCGGTTGGTAAATGCCAAAGTTATTCAATGTTTAAATACCGAGCCAGGAAATTTCCTTGTTTTTGCCAGTGTAGGCAAAGAGAGAGAGCTGGTGGGTCTGCGGTTATCACTTTAGCATAAATTACAAAATTTCCACCCACACCTTCCTCCCTTCTCCTCCCCCCGCACTGGACCACTATCGTCGTGCGCTTTGTTTCTATGGCCATCTGTAGTTGGGGTCGTAAAGTGCGTTGAGCGTTTAATGGACACGTGACGCGGTAAAATTTTCCGGTCAAGTGCCGCAGAGGGCTGCAATTTGAATGCCTGCCAGCACGGGGGCAGGCAGAATTCGTACAAAGTCAAGCCGCAAGCGTCATGGATGCGGTTCGGTCGAGAATTCTCCTACAAAGTGGAAGTACTCAGCAAAATGATGGCCAAACTGGCATTCAAAAGTTCGCCATAATATTTTTTAGATCCACTAAAATTCTCTGCATTAAAGTTTTTTAAAAAAGTGGTTAAAATTTAGCAAAGTTTTTGCCTAAAAATACACTCATAAATGATTCAATTTTGATTAATTTTTTTGTGTATTTTTTGTATTCTTTACGGCTTGTACGGCTTCAAATTAAACATTTCTCTTATTGATCTCCGATGGTGATTCTTTTGAGTATTAAATACCAGAAAGAACACGCTAGAACTTGGCAGAAGATATTTTTTTGAGCAAGGAGTTCTTACGCTACGGAGAATTTGCTATATGGCTATTTCCGATCAAGTTTCAATGGCTAATATTTAAATATTTAATATTATAACTATTTGAAACCTAGGTGGCAATCCCCCTGCACCCTCGCTTTGCACGTGTGCCAACCCCTGGCTAACTCGCTACTCGTTACTCGCTACACAAAGCATTTTTTATTAAATAGAGAAAAAACAGCTAATATAAACATTTTGCTGTATATTATTTTACTGCTGGATCCGCACAGAGTTGCAAAGTAATGAAGGCATTCGGGATTTGTCTGAAATTTCAGTGAATTCATTTCCAGCAATCGATTGTTGGTTCATAAGTTTATTTGGCAATGGCCGGGCCAGGCCCACTTTATGATACTGTCGATATGCCTGCAGCAACTCCACTTACTCTTCATTTTAACCGACTGCCACCCTGCTCCCCGTGATCCGTGCAGATAGGAGCCGACCCCCATTAGGGGGTACCAGCATTTTGCTGTCACAGCACAAGAGCTTCGAAACAGCCGGCGGCACAATTCAATTAGGCCACGAACATAGAGCCATATACTCGTGCTCGTACAGAGAAGAGGGAGAAGAGAATGGTACGCTCTGTGGGAAGGAGTGGGAAGGATGGCGGAAAAATTACGGAAGCTGTGGTCTCGTGTCCGTTGCGTCCCTGCCTGGACTTCCGCTCGCTAATGGGTCCTGCCTTTGCTGACCCTTCCGCCCTTAGATAACCAAAAGGTTAAATTACCTGATCGAAGCACCGGAAATGGACTCGCGACGATTGCGTCCAAAGAGCGTCGGGGGCACGGCCGAGATTGTGACCACCGAGTGGCGGCGGCCTCCGGCCGCGGGATTGGCCTTCTGCGAGAGCGTAGCCAAAAACTCCACCTCCTTGGGACTGAGGCCGCCGGTCTCGCCGCCCACCTCTGAGAGACGACGCACCTGGCTGGCCGTGATCCCCTCGGTTATCTGGAGCGAGGGCAGCGAGTGCTTGCGGCGCTGCTGCATGTCTGGGAAGGGGCATAGCAGATACGGATTCACCGGCGAGTCCGGCTCGGAGTCGTCGCTGTTCGAGCGCTTGGTGGTGGCGCCCGGATCACAGCCGCCAGCGGCCCCCTCCAGATCGTCGCCATCCTCGGGGGCATGAGACTCCTCGACGACAATCAGCGGCTCCTGGGTGCTGAGGTTGAAGACAGGCGTGAATGAGGATCGACGCATCTTGCTCAAATCTGCAGCGAGAGAAGAAAGGAAAGAGATTTGTTATATATTCATTCGCTCTTCACATAAAGTACATTGCAAAATAGCGAGTAGCGAGTAACGAGCCAAGTAACCGGTACAGTAACCTTTCTCCTTGATTCGTTAAAAACTAAAAGTTTTGTATCTTTAAAAGTGAATGGCCAATAATAGACACAGTTCGGTAGCACCTGGTCCGATAAACTAGGTGGTGGCTCTGGAGTCTGATAATCTTCCATGTCTTCCATGCGCTAATCAGTTAGCTGTGAATTCGAATTAAATGAATTAAATTAAATTTAATTATTTGTCATTGTGGGTCGGCTTGTAAACACCATTCAGATGGCCATCATTTAATCTATTGACACGACATGGCCAAATCGCATGTTCCGCGAGAATTCTATATAAATTCAGCCTCGAATGGAATGCAGTACGAACTCAGACCAGAGGCACAACCATGTGGTACTGGACATTGCTGGCTCTGCTGGCTGTCAGCATTTCGATGGCGGCGTCGCTCCACAGCAGGCCGGTGAGTGGCAAGGAAGGGTAAGCCAATGAGACTAAAATCCGCTCTTCAGAAGTCCTGGACCTACACACTGAAAGAGACCAGCAGTCATAGCAGCAACGAGAGCATCGTGAAGGCCGACACACGCATCGAGCGCATCGGTCGGGCGGAGTTCGCCCTGAGTGGATCCCTGTTTATTGGCGTGCAGGTGCCCGACGACCTGGAGGTGGAAGTTCTCGCCTATCGCAGCCCGGACGGGGGGGCCAACTACAAGCTGCAGCCCTACTCGCTGCAACGCCAGGGAATCTTTGCGGCCATGAACAGCTTCTACAAGGACATGATCATGGAGAGTGTCGCCTCCTGCTCGAATTTGCCCCAGTTCACCGGGGAACTTACGGTGCTGGCGGCCCAGACATTCAATTACGATAAGTGCCAGATAAGTACCGATTCATTCCCCCAGTACTTGCCCGATGGCTGGTACAAGCTCAACTTTGTCACATACGGCTTCGTCGAGGTCGTTTGGGAGCTAATCATCATCATTGAAAAGAAGGCCCTCTAGTCTCTGACGCCAGAATCTGGAGATCTTTCAAATAAAGGGAGCAATTATGCAGGCTTTTAAAGAGCGGCTTCGTTTTTATTTTTGGGTGATGAAATCTGTTAAATATTCTTAAGAATAGTTTACGATTGAAATGGTATCTCTCTGTGCAAAGTTCTGTGCGGTTCCAAGAGCTTTTCACCAACCAAAACTGAATTGTGGCCCCGAGTGTTCACCTGTCTGTTTATCTTTTCCATTTCCATTTCCCTTTCACGTTTTAATTAGTCCTTGTTCAGTATTCCCTATGTATTTCGTATATTTCGCACAAAGCGAATGTCCTGCGAGACTGGCAAAACAGACGAAAAACAAACAGCCCCAAATGGCTCAATTAACTCAATTGAATTCAAAATGAAACAGAGCAAAAAATATATACAAAATGTGTAAAAGTAAAACCCTTTCGAGTTTTGCAGAACAATAGCGAACCTACACCAGCATATTCTCCGTAGCCCCACCGTAGCTCCCCCCGTAGGAGGCTTACGAAAAATGTACCTTCTGGGGGGTGGAATATTCAGCTGACTCCTCGCACAGTGGGGCCTTCTGAACGAATATTTTCATGAATCAAACTGTCTTTGAAAGGAAAAACTTCCAAAATGTAGTCTCCAGGAGTACATTATTCTACGATAACCAGAAAGCTTTTCAATTGATTTTTAAACCTTAACTTTGTTGCAAAATGTTTCATAATTTATTTTGAATTTGATTTGTAACTTAATGGTTTTTTACAAACATTTTATCCTTAAAATTGGCTTTATGCCAGTTCTTAATTCTTATCAAATTTAAAAAATACTCAAAAAATAAATAGTTTGAAAAATCTTTTTTTATTGGATTCTTATTGAACTTTTATTGAACAATGTCAACAATAAATACACCTACAAAAAGACACCAAAACAGAAAACATACTTCACATAGTTTACTTTTTATTCGACCTGAACGAGGCAGTGAGTGCATAAAAAAAGGGGTAAATTCCGGCTTACTGGAAAAATGGTCAATGGTCGGGTATTCTCGATATTTGAAAGCCCTGGCCCTCTCCCTTTCTCTCTCTCTCCGCCCCACTGTGCAGCGGCAGAAGTGAAATGTGCCGAAAATGTAAATGAAATTGTTATTAAGCATTAGGCACATCAAAATCACAAAGGGGAAACGATTTTTTCTTCCGTTTGGTTCCTTCCTTCTGGCCCTTAAAGAGATTTCTGTTTTTTCGTGATGTCGTTCGTGACTGTGAGGCCGAGAAGATGACACCATCGTAATGAGACCTTCGAGCTAGAGACGACAGCGTGACAATTACGAATGGGATACGATTTGTCCTTTGCGGCGTCTCTGGCAGCTGATTGGGACTTCCTGGACTTATTTTGTTTATGCGATATTTTTGTTCTTTTGGTTTTAAACCGATTTTAAAGGCTGCAAATATTTATATTGAGTATACTTATTTATTGAGTACCGCTTATCTTAGTGTCGAGGCACGCATGCATCGACTCAAACGTACCGACTGGCAAGGCTTAAGCCCGAGATGGAATATCGAATGTGTTGCAATATTTTGAGCTCCAAGCAAATCACGAATACCACGAGTATCTTCACTCATTTTGGGGGGATTGTGTCCTTTAGCGAATGAATCACGTTGCCGTCTCCAAAAGAGAAAGTAACTGATTCAGCTCTCGCCAGGGAACGGTAGCTGGCAATTGGATTGACGCCCACCCACTGCCCACCCGCACAACATATACATATGTATGTGTGCGTGTGTGTTTGTGTAAGTTCGAGTGTGACTTTGTCCAATGCCAAAAATGCCAATAATGAGCGTCTATTAATAGCCACCGAAGGCGATTTGCTACGATTTCATTCGATTTCGGATCGAATTGAATTGAACATCTCCCATCCGCTCCCCACACCTTCTCCATCACAGCGTAGTGAGCAGATTGTAATTAGCAAAAAAGCCAAAGTTCCCTCTGACACACACACACACAGACACTCCCAAAAACTTAAGCCTGAAGAACCGTAAACAACAAAAGGAATTGCCAACACACAGAAGGAAAAAAAGTACGGTGGAGCGATGGAAAAAAGCAACTCATTTAAATTTCTCTTTGGCTGTTCTCGCGATGAAAATGAAAATGAAAATTGACAAGCCCCAACAACGTTCCGTGGAGCTCCCTCTCCCTCTCTTCCTCCTTCTCTTTCTCTTTTGCCTACAGTTATGCTGATAGAGCGGAGCAGGAAGAGACAGATAGGCGGAGGAGGAGAGCTGCTGTTGCCCTCGGGGCATAAATTCCAAGCGTAATTTTTTTGGACTAGGTACAATTCGTCTTCGTGGAATGACAGACAGCCCGCCTCTAAGGTCTGATACAAAAGTCAGAGAGAAAGCAAAGAGAAAGTGACAGAGAGCCCCAGAGAGAGGGTGAGAGCTCTTCGCTCTGCACTTCAGTGTTGAACAACGCAATAAAGACGGGTAGGGAAACGCTTGGGGATCTGTTACTGAATTGAAGAGTGTGAGACCAGCCATAAATACCTTTTGGAAAAAGAGAGCAGTGAGAGGTATATATTGAGCTCTAATACGGAATCGAGCTGCTATAAAATTGGTGGCAGCGCAGGACTTAAAGAGTGGTGGAACATGATCATGTCTTTGCCCTCCGCGGACTGGTTTGGAGATAGTGCTGCAGACAGCAAAATTCGCGGCAAAATGTTTTTTCCAACACGCGCAACCAGTTATCGATAACAATCGATCATTTCCAGCTCCCAGCATACATGACCAGTGTTCGTAAGTCACGAAAATAGATGAAAAGCAGCGATAGAGAGCTGTCACGGTATGGCAGAAGTTTTGAAATGTTTTGGAAACAGTTTCAGAGCCCCTTTAGTGAATTAATTGTGGGCTTGCGGTTGTTAGCTGATAATGAAACTAAACAACTGAATAATGAATAATCCAGAACAAGGCAAAACCACGGCTTTAATAAGAAGATTATGAAGCTTTTCATTTACCACTAACCGAAGCGTAGTGGTTTTTTATGATTTAAAGTCGGTTTTTCGATCTGTGAATAATTCCAGGGCCCAGACCTTTCAAAACGCCCATCCGCGACCCCCAGCTCCGCCTTTCGCGCCACTTTGGGGCCACTTGAAAGCGAATTTAAATAACGGATTTATTATGTATTTAAATAACATTAAAAATACGTCCCAAGCCCAACAGGCCCTGCCCTTCTTTTGGCTCAAAAAACCAACAAAAAAATACAGATTCCAATGCCAATTCCCAATGAGGCCTTCGACATTTTTGCGCGTGTGTGGGGGACGCACAGGTAGGCCGGCAGGGGGGGCAGGCAGTCAATTTGAGTATCACTCAAACATTTAAATTTGATTTATCGGTGAAATACGAGAGAAGCGCTCCAGCGACGCCATCGGATTGTGAACGCAATCAACTTCAAAATGGTTTAATTATAAAAGAACAGCCACCAGCACTGGGACTAGGACTGTGTGTCCTGTGCCCTCTGTCCCCTGCCCCCTGTCCCCTGTCCTGTGCCTGTGGGGGGGATTGTGACCCTAAATGCGAAACCCCCAATGGACCAGCGGGGATGGAGATGGGCTGCGATACGGACAATCAGACTCAAAACAACCAAAACCCAAACCCACACCAAAACCCCCCCACCCAGATCCCACGCCCAACCGTCCCTTGGCGGTCCCGTTTCCCGATTCCAACCCCCAAAGTTTGTCTATGTTTATAAACCCGACAGAATCCCGTCGGTCTGGTCGGCCAACGCGTATTTCAATTTAAATTTATTTTTATTACATTTAAGCGGATTTTGCACGGACGAACGAACCACCGAACGAAACGAATAATTACATTGACAAATATTTATGAATCGACAGTTGGACTCCAGGACACAGTTCTTTGGGAATGGCAACTATTTTTCAAACTGAATTGTACTCCAATACAGACCTTTAAATGTCACCCAAAAAGTATTATTACGATTGGGTATTACTACTCGATTAATGATTAATGAAGAAATAAATAAATTTAATACAAAATACATGCAAGGACTTCTCAACCACGATAATAATTTACTCTTAAATCTAACAGATAATAGTCCTGCGCAAGAAGAGTATTCATTCTCGATCTCTCGGATAGATATACCAAAAAAAGGTTAAACTCCAATACAACATAAAAATATAAATCAAGTATAAAAGTAGGTTCCACTGGATGCTATTTCTATTTCTGTTAATTTTAATTATATATGTTATAAATAGCTAAAATTTACTTCAAAATATACATATTTTCATATAATATAAATCATTTTTAATTCATGTTTTTAATTTGCAAAATATGCACAATAATACGTAAATATTAATTTGCATATAAAAGTTAGGAAATAGCACTTATTTTCGATTTGTTCATTTAAAGAGTTATTTTTAATTATTATTTTACAAATTAAAAAATTTAAAATAAAAGGTTTTATTAAAAAAATATTAAAAATATTCTTGATATGTATATGATACCTGCCATATTCTATTATAGCCCATTTATTTCTGCTAAAATACCAAAGAATACCAAAAAATACCAGCTTAGAACCAAAGAAATACACAAGCAATGCTTTGCTTTCCTCTCCTTTGCTTTATTTTGCCTTCCGTTGCTGTCGGGGAGATTTACAGCCACCGAAGGAAATTCATGGCCTGTTTATATTGCCTACATGTTGTATGCGTATCCGAAACATTATTCTTTCCGATATACTTGTATTTAGACACATGCTGGGGCTCGTGCCCGTGTTCGTGTGTGCCATTTATACACATTCTGCGGCCATTCATATCAATCAATGGAACAATGTGATTCCTATATGAATGGTTGGTCATTTATCGTTTTGACTCTGATTTATCCGCCCCTCCGGCTCTGGCTCTCTCTCTGGCTCTGGCTCTGGCTCTGCCCCTCTCCGGGATAGTTCGATGCCAATTTCCATACATGCGACTCTTGATTCACTTGTCTGGCCGTGATGACATCGTGGACTTGTCTCCACTGGCGGCAGGGCTCTTATCACATGCCATTGGTCGGCCAACTGACTCGGA